CAGGAAAAAAAAAAAAAAAAAAAAAGGCTGATGGCAATTTAAGAAACAATAGACTCAACTCGCGCTGCCGGCTTTGCTACTTCAATTGTCATTTTCCACAACCAGGCAAGTTTTTTCTTCTCTCTTTTTTTTTCCTCCTTCTCTCCCAACCAAAGATGTTTCTTTCCTTTCAGTGCGTATAGATGAGGACGCTGTTTGCCGTAGACAGATACACCAGAGAGGTGGGGGGAAAGATAGAGAGAGAGGAGAGGGAGAAAGAGAGAGGGGTGGACCCTGCTGGATGGAGATTCTGTTTTCTCCTTGCTAAAATAGAAGTGATTTGCAGGCTTTCCCTATGGAATCCAGTTTGACTCTCCCCAGAGCTAAACACAGGCACACTAACCCCAAAGGGGGGAGGCGGGGCCCGCGCCTTTTTACCCCGCCCCTTAATTTGCATAACGTCATTCTTCCGCCCCGCTGCAGCCAATCTCCGCTCAGAAGCCGGCTTGCTGGCGGCGCCGGGGCAGGCTCCCTCATTAACATCCCTCTCCGGGTGGCGCAGGGGAGCCGGCCAAAGTTCCTCGCAAAGTGGCGAGCGAGGAAACGCTGAGCACCAGCGTCTAGGCCGGGGAGAAGCGGGTCCGAGAGAGATCCGAGAGGGGACAGAAAAAGAGAGAGGGGTATCTTTACAAGGGATTTGAGCTAAGATTCTGCATCCCGGCAATTGCAGCCCTTAGACATCCTCGCCGAGCCCAGACAGCTCTCTAGGCGCAAAGGCTGCGCCCTCCCAGGGCAAATGCCCGGTCCTGCTCTGCGGTTCTGGGACGTCGGGGGCAAAAGTGGAGGAGACAGGAGATCCCAGACAGGAAAAGCAGGACGCGCGTCCCAGGTGCCCATCTCTGCACTTTGAGGTGGGAGTGGTGTAACTGAATATGGATACACTAAGACGGTGCTGGAGTTCGCAGAGGCGCACCACTTCCACTCTGGGAGGGGTGGGAGATCCCTGCGTCTGGGCAAGGGGGGCGCTGTGGGTCCCCAAGGAATGGAAACCCTGGCTCTGCCCCCAGTCTGGGCTCTGAAACAGTTCTCGCTCAGTCGGTAACCAGAGGCCACTGGCGTTAGGCGGTCTCAGACACATGCTCAGTTTTCTTGGGCAGCCCTCAAGACGTGTGAGTGGTGAAATGGAATGCTCTCGTTCGGGCTATATCAGGGTGCATTTAAAAATCTATCAAATCCAACCCCGAGCCCTGAAACCCTAGCCCCAAATTAGTTTGTGGGTATTTTTTGTTATTGCTGTTCGTTTGGCTGCTGCTATTGTTTTTAAGGGTAACTACCAAAGCAAACCCCATCTCTGACTAGTTGTGTTTTTTGTTTGGTTTTGTTTGGTTGTGTTTTGGTTTGGGTTTTTGGTTTTGGTTTGGCTTTTTTGGTGTAGAGTTTCTCTCTTCTTTCTTCATACTTTGTGTGAACAAGAAATGAAAGAAACCCTCCCCAGCTTCTCTCTCTGCCATATGGAGAGAGAAGAAAAGGAAAAAAAAGAGAGAGAGAGAGAGAGAAAGGAAGAGGAGAGGAAAAAAGAAAAGGAAGGAGGACTGAGGGAAGAAGCAGGGAAGCAGGAAAGAAAGAAAAGATAAAGGGAGAAGAGGAAAGAATGGAAGTGGGAGAGGGAAAGAAGAACTGAAGGAAAAACTGAAGAAACTGTCTCCTACCTCAGGCTTTCAGGCATATATATATATATATATATTTGTGGCTGGCAAAGGAAATAGCTAGATGTTTCTGGGTAATGTGTGCCCCATCATTTTTTAGCAGGTTGTAACCTCTAATAAGCACATGGTGAACTTCTGTTTCATTGCCCTCAAAGGAACTCCCTGACTGCAGCCAAATCTGCTAAGGACTCCTTCGGGGAAATTCTCTGCCAGAAATCCAGGTCTCCTTACTATGGCTGGTCTTCCCTGGCCCTTTGATTTAGGAAGCTTATGGGGTCAGTGATGGAAAAGTACACATGCCCACGTTGAATGGAGACAGGCTTTGTGCCCTCGGTGGAGCAGAAGAGAGGAGCCACTTCCTGCTTTCTACACTGGGTGGGAGAATGCATTCCAGGCCTATGGGCACACGGCCGCTGTCCCTGAACACACATTCCCTTCTGTACACAAAGCCTGCCAGCCCTCATACCATTCGAGTCAGAGCTCTTATGCTGAGTTGTTTCTCCCTGGCACTGTCATGCCCTCTTCTACAAAGCACCCCTGAAGAGATGAGTCTGTCCATCAGGATCGCTGTAGCACCTACCAGAGTTCTTGGCAGATCTTAAGGGTCCAGGTGGTGGGGATGATGGTGGAGAGACTGGAAGGGTTGTAGGTCTGTGGGGAAGAGCAGGTGGACTTTCTCCATCTCCATAGAATTTAAATGCACAGTTGAAACCAAGCCTGCTAAAAAATTCCCAGAGCTCCAAGCTTTAACTCATGCCCCAGGCCCAAGAGGTCCCCAGAGCAATTCCCTTCCTTTGGGTCAGATTCTCGAGTTCAAATGGGATCCTTCAAGGTAGGGGGGTAGGGAAGCAGAGACTCTCCTTAACTGCCTGAGCCTCTAGATAACAATTTGCAGGACCACAAGTTCAGTCTGGTGGGACACCACGGGGTCTTCAAAAAGTCCATGGAAACTGCATATGGCAAAAAACTACGTATGAATATCACATTTTTTTGGTACCTAGATAACCCCGCCAAAGGGGGGGGCAGGAAAACGCGGAGCACCAGCGTCTAGGCCGGGGAGAAGCGGGTCCGAGAGAGATCCGAGAGGGGACAGAAAAAGAGAGAGGGGTATCTTTACAAGGGATTTGAGCTAAGATTCTGCATCCCGGCAATTGCAGCCCTTAGACATCCTCGCCGAGCCCAGACAGCTCTCTAGGCGCAAAGGCTGCGCCCTCCCAGGGCAAATGCCCGGTCCTGCTCTGCGGTTCTGGGACGTCGGGGGCAAAAGTGGAGGAGACAGGAGATCCCAGACAGGAAAAGCAGGACGCGCGTCCCAGGTGCCCATCTCTGCACTTTGAGGTGGGAGTGGTGTAACTGAATATGGATACACTAAGACGGTGCTGGAGTTCGCAGAGGCGCACCACTTCCACTCTGGGAGGGGTGGGAGATCCCTGCGTCTGGGCAAGGGGGGCGCTGTGGGTCCCCAAGGAATGGAAACCCTGGCTCTGCCCCCAGTCTGGGCTCTGAAACAGTTCTCGCTCAGTCGGTAACCAGAGGCCACTGGCGTTAGGCGGTCTCAGACACATGCTCAGTTTTCTTGGGCAGCCCTCAAGACGTGTGAGTGGTGAAATGGAATGCTCTCGTTCGGGCTATATCAGGGTGCATTTAAAAATCTATCAAATCCAACCCCGAGCCCTGAAACCCTAGCCCCAAATTAGTTTGTGGGTATTTTTTGTTATTGCTGTTCGTTTGGCTGCTGCTATTGTTTTTAAGGGTAACTACCAAAGCAAACCCCATCTCTGACTAGTTGTGTTTTTTGTTTGGTTTTGTTTGGTTGTGTTTTGGTTTGGGTTTTTGGTTTTGGTTTGGCTTTTTTGGTGTAGAGTTTCTCTCTTCTTTCTTCATACTTTGTGTGAACAAGAAATGAAAGAAACCCTCCCCAGCTTCTCTCTCTGCCATATGGAGAGAGAAGAAAAGGAAAAAAAAGAGAGAGAGAGAGAGAGAAAGGAAGAGGAGAGGAAAAAAGAAAAGGAAGGAGGACTGAGGGAAGAAGCAGGGAAGCAGGAAAGAAAGAAAAGATAAAGGGAGAAGAGGAAAGAATGGAAGTGGGAGAGCATATATATATATATATTTATTTGTGGCTGGCATAGGAAATAGCTAGATGTTTCTGGGTAATGTGTGCCCCATCATTTTTTAGCAGGTTGTAACCTCTAATAAGCACATGGTGAACTTCTGTTTCATTGCCCTCAAAGGAACTCCCTGACTGCAGCCAAATCTGCTAAGGACTCCTTCGGGGAAATTCTCTGCCAGAAATCCAGGTCTTCTTACTATGGCTGGTCTTCCCTGGCCCTTTGATTTAGGAAGCTTATGGGGTCAGTGATGGAAAAGTACACATGCCCACGTTGAATGGAGACAGGCTTTGTGCCCTCGGTGGAGCAGAAGAGAGGAGCCACTTCCTGCTTTCTACACTGGGTGGGAGAATGCATTCCAGGCCTATGGGCACACGGCCGCTGTCCCTGAACACACATTCCCTTCTGTACACAAAGCCTGCCAGCCCTCATACCATTCGAGTCAGAGCTCTTATGCTGAGTTGTTTCTCCCTGGCACTGTCATGCCCTCTTCTACAAAGCACCCCTGAAGAGATGAGTCTGTCCATCAGGATCGCTGTAGCACCTACCAGAGTTCTTGGCAGATCTTAAGGGTCCAGGTGGTGGGGATGATGGTGGAGAGACTGGAAGGGTTGTAGGTCTGTGGGGAAGAGCAGGTGGACTTTCTCCATCTCCATAGAATTTAAATGCACAGTTGAAACCAAGCCTGCTAAAAAATTCCCAGAGCTCCAAGCTTTAACTCATGCCCCAGGCCCAAGAGGTCCCCAGAGCAATTCCCTTCCTTTGGGTCAGATTCTCGAGTTCAAATGGGATCCTTCAAGGTAGGGGGGTAGGGAAGCAGAGACTCTCCTTAACTGCCTGAGCCTCTAGATAACAATTTGCAGGACCACAAGTTCAGTCTGGTGGGACACCACGGGGTCTTCAAAAAGTCCATGGAAACTGCATATGGCAAAAAACTACGTATGAATATCACATTTTTTTGGTACCTAGATAACTTTGTACTTTAATTTCATTTTTTTCCACAGATGTTTTGAAGGTCCCTTGTACTCCACAGGTAGGAAACAGATCACTGCCAAAGGACACTGCAAAGGTGCCAGGGAAGAAAAGACACATCCACCCCCCCACCCCCCCACCTCAGGATCCGGATCAGCAAAAGACACTTGCTAGATAGATTTCTGGGAGCCATGCAGAATAGAAGAGCATCTGCAAAGGATGTGTTTGTCCAGAGGTCTGAAGCTGACTTAAATGAGAAACTGGCACAGAAAAACGAGACTTCGGCAGCCCATTTCCTGCCCCAGAGCCCTTTTCTCCAGGGACTAAATATAAGGGCTGCAATTCCCACATCCACCAGGCCAGAGGAGGAGGAAAATAAAAGGGGCAGGAATCTTTTGATAAGACTAATTCCCTTTGGCTGTGCGGAGGCAGCAGACACCTCACCTAGGATGGCGAGTGTACTTTATTTTAATCAAGCAGAGTGTATTCATAGCTTCTCTTCTGGGTGTCCTTGTGCTTTCAACCTGGTGTTCTCATCTTGTAATAAATGTTTAAGTAGGTTGGGGGCTAAAGAGAAGTTGGAAAAGAGATGCAGAGAGAGAGATGGAAAACTGGGAATGGCACCCAGACCAGCAGAGGGGTAGCTTTCTGTGAATATTCTTCTGTGAATATGGAACTAGCAGTTGCAATTTTAATTTCTGCAAAAGAATCGCTCAGATACTTTTAAAGCTTCCCCCCACATGAGGTTTGTTTCACCTCCAGAGACAAAGCACGTGTAGAGAGGGGTGACAATCCAGTTTGTGCTGACACTAGCTTGTCCTGTTCACGCAGTTGTCAGGTCTTGGTGAAGAAACACGTGCACACCTAGGCTTTAGAGAAGACTTCAGGGATTTGACTTTAGGGAAGTTTATAACAATAATCCCCAAATTGAGCTCACCAACCTAATCATACGGGGAGGGGGCACAGAGAGTTGGGGGGACGTTAGGAATGCTGACTTCTGGGCCTTTCCTGTACCTCTGGAGTTGGCGCCTGGTAATCTATACATAAACAAGTTGGAAACTCCAGATTTCGATATACTATAGATTGTCTCCGAGAGAAAGAAGGAAGTAGAGCGGAAAGGAGGGCGCAAGGGGATGAAGAAAACAGGGACCGACCGTAGGGTGAGGAAAAGGTCTGGCAAAATGAGCTTCTACCTGGAAGGAGCCAGCTGCAGAGGCTTGGTGTTTCCCGGGGGTCTAGTCTCCCGGCTGAGCTACTCGGTTTCTTCGGCGGCGTCGGGATTTCTGTCCACAATGCCTACTGCTCCACAGGGTCTGCGGGGTCTCCCGCAGAAAGTCAGACCCGTGGGCAAGGCTTCCCTACAGCCCTCCTCCCTCCGACTTGCCTTGGTGATCTCAACCCTCTTAAGGCACAGGGAAACCAATCCCCTTTGGGAGAGCATCAGTCGCCGCAGTCGTTTCTGGGGGCTCAGGTAGAAACACACTCGCTCCCCCAAAGGAAAAGAGATCAGCTAAACCCCGCCGGACTCGGACGAGCGGGGACGTCCTGGGGAAAGAGGGAATCGAATCGTCTCGGCTCGTCCGCCCCCAGGAGGCCAGGCTCGGGACTGGTCGCTTAGAAAATTCCCTCGATCTCCTTTAGCCTAGCGAGAGCGCGCCCCAAGAACGACGGTGGGTCCTGGGAAACGCCTCCTTCCCTTGCGGGAGACGGCTGCGAGCGTGTGAGGGGACAGTCGTCGCGGTCAGTGCTGGGAAGACCGGAACAGGGGAGAGGGGACCACGGAGGCACAAAAAAAAAGTCCTTCCGCGAGCGGCCCGCTCCAGAGGAATCCACAGCAGCCTGGGACGCGGGCCGGGATGGGCAGAGGCCGAGGCGCTGCTTGGAGGAGGAGGGCCAGGACTAGGAGGTGGCTGGAGGCGCTGGGAAAGCGAGGACCTGACCTAGGCGCAGCTGCGAGGGCCCCTGGCGGCACCCCGGGCGCGGTCAGAGCATCTGAGCCCTGGGACCTGCCCACCCCCCTGCAAAATCCAAACCCCCCCCCCGCCGCTCTCGGGGAACGCGTGGGAGCAGGCCACTACACCGGAAATCCGGACTGGGATCCGGGTTCCAACCCCTGCGTTCCCCTGCTTGCCGGGCTGACCCGCACAAACCGTGTGTGCGAGCGCACTTCCCCTCTGTACTGTGCCAGCGGGGAAACTGAGGCCTAGCAAGAGCGAAAACCACCCACAGCGAGGAGGTAGAGAAGGAGCAAGCGCCACCCCGAGACTCTGGCCCTGCGCCGCAGCTCTAAGTGCGCTTCGGCCGCGATGCTGCGGGCTGGGGCTCCCGCAGACCTTTCCCGGAGCTAGCCGGGCGGCTCACCCGGGTTTCCCCCGGGGCGGGCCCAGATAATAATAGATCTCATTTGTTGAAGGCTGTCCAGGCGCGCGCTCACTGAATTTCCACCACAGACCAAAAAGGCAGACACGATCACTCCCTTTTTATAGGCGAGGAAACTGAGGCCGTGAGAGTGAAGTGGAAAAAGTTGCCCACGGCCACACCCGCTGATAAAGTCGCCCTTAACCTTGGCGCTCAATCGTCCACCCGGCGAGGCGCGTAGGGCCTGTGCCGAAAGCTCCCGGGGTGCCCTGGCTCTCGAGCCCTTGAGTACCGATCCCTACCCCAGAAGAGAAAGGAACAAGCGCGCACGTTGCCCCCCGAGTGCGGAAGGCGGAGGAGAACAGGGGTAAGGTCCTGAAAAGCCCTAACCCAGGCGCGGACTGAAAGCGGGTTCGCGCCATCAGAGGCCGACTCGCTTTTCTCCCAGCCCGCCAGGAGCGGGGCGCGTCAGGGACGTGCCCGCTCCATCCCCGTCTCTGCCACACGAACCGTGTGACCTCCAGACGGTCGCTTCTCCCGGTGCTGGCTGAGCTTGCCTAAATGAAACAGGGTAAAGACAGGACTCCCCGCGAAGCCCGCGACGCCCATGCGAGGACACAGCTGGACACCTGCGGGTGTGCTTTCATGGGGAAGAAGACGATTCTGCCTTGGTATGCCCAGAGACAGCGACAACCAAAGTCACTTGGAGGCGGGAGAATTCAGTTGGGCGCACTCGGGTAAAAGATCTCTAAGGACGACGCTGCCCCCCTCCTCCCCAGCACGTCCACACCCAACCTGGCGACCTTTGCCCACACCCCCCTTTCCGCGAGGCTGGAGCCCGACCAGGTAGAAGGAAGCTCCAGGGACACGCAGCTGTTTGGAAATTGACATTCCTTCAGTAACGCTAATGAGCTGGGGAAGCGGCATCTTACCCCGTGAAGATTTGGCGGGAATGGGAGGAGTAGGCCCTTTACTTATGGCAAAGTTGGAGAGGATAGGCGAGTTGAGCTGCCAAACGGGAGATGCTGGGGTGACCAAAAGTTCGTGCGCCTGTCTCCTTTAAGAAACAGTTCACTAGGTATTTACACACCGCGGACCGCTGCGGGGGGTGTGGGATTGTTGGCTACCGGGATAAGAGATGCGTGTGGTGTGAATGTGCAAATGTTTGCATGAGCTATGGGTGGCTGCATGGTTGCTGGCCTGTGCAGTACGCGTGTGTGCTCGAGTGGCAGCGCTCACTTGACTGCACATGTTTGAGTGTGCTTGAGGAGGCAGAGGTGCACACGAGCGTGAGTGCACAAGTGCCCTGTACACAGTGTGCATGCGACACGTGTAGACCTGTCTAGTTTGTGTAAGTGGGGTGTGCCTGTGCAAAAGAACGTTTGTATTGTGCAAGGGCGTCAAACACGCGTGTGTGACCCTGAGTTCACACATGGCTTATGTGTACACGTGTGCATGTAAAAGCCAGCAAAGTAGTCCAAGCATCTAGACCCAGTAAGGGAAAAGTATCAGCCTAGTCGCAGACTGAAGGCTCCAGGAGAGGAATCCAGATTACTGTTCCTTTGGCCTTGCGGAAGGCAGGAAGCCTTTAGGGGGCGCAACACTCGTCCGGGAACCGCGGGTGCGCGCCCGGTTCTGCTCCGGGCGGTCGAGTCCAGTTCCGGGTGCAGACCCACAAATTACCTGGCCTGAGCTCGCAAGGGTCGCTGCTGGACAGTTCCGCGCTCTTAATTGCTCCTCGCGGACAGTTTCTGATTATTGATTCCGTGGTGTCCAAACAGACAGCCCTTCCGGGTTATTTCCATATGTACTTATTTTCCTTTCCACCGTCATTATTTGGTGGCTGCTATGAAGATGGTGCCAAACCCACCAAGACGGCCTTGCCCACCTCTCGGAGGCCACCCTGGGCGTGCCGTTGACCCGCAAGCGCCCGAAGCTTCGCTTAAGGTGGAGCCACAGCGCCACCTTGCGATGCTCCAGCCTCCGCCTGGTCCCGGCCACAGAAGGCGGGGACTTTCTGGCCAAGCCCTGGAATTCCCACTGCTGGTTTTGTATTCACTTTGGCTATTTGTTTCTCCAGCTGTAAAGTTCCCCTTTTCCTGAGCCTGAGCCTCGACGGTCCCCAGACACGTCTCGCCGCACCGCTGTACGCTGCGCCTCCCTTCTGCACCTGGTGAAGCACCGCTCCTCGATAATCGCTGTTTCAAGAGTGACTCTGACACCGTTTAAACCCCCTCCAATGCCATCGTTCCTTGACCTTCGCCCGGTTTCTCTAAGGCTCATATTACATTGGCCAGGAAGTACTGTTTCAGTGTCTGCCCGTCTCTAACCAAGGAGCTCCTCCACAATGATTATTGTTGCTTATCCAACAACAATAAAACGTATTTATGGAGCCCAGACTCCTGATCATCTTATACGATGCACTGTACTAGGCACGTCACATAAGCTGTCTTCTTTCATTTCCTCAGTAAAACCGTGAAGCAAGCACCGATATTACTTCTCCCTTTGCAGATAGATGAAGAAACTGAAACTAGAGAGAAACACTCTCGTGTTCCCAAATCACAAAATCCACAAAAGGTATAAATGTGCCTCCTCACCTAGCCTCCCCACCACATTGCAAACCAAGTCTGCCTGTCTGATGCCCAAGTCCACTTTTCTTCCAGTGGTCTGTGTCTTGCAGACTTTTCAGCTCCATATTCACTGGCTTTATGCACAACAAGGCACAGACTGGGCACTCACATACTTATGGCTAACGGTACCATTGTGCATTTAAATGATTTCTTCTCCCAGAGAGTAGAGCTAGGAAAAGTCCTGTCATTGTCAGACTCCTTCATTGAAATGTCACGGCCATCATTTACCTCCAAAGAGTATTCCACTACTAACTAGCTAGGTGACCTTGGTCTAGTCACTTTACCTCAACTTTCTCATTTGTAAAAGCAGGTTGACTATTAGGGTTAAATGAGAGAAAAAAATATGTGGTACTTGATTGAGCGTCTCATACTCTAGCTATTACTTAATAATAATAATAACTCATTCCCACGATTATTCATGATAGTTTTAAAAACTTAAGCACAAAACACAAAATGGACTTGCTTAATCACATAGAAGTCACTGCATCTCTGTGTGAAGTGATTTCACTATTGTCTTCATTTTCATCTTGGACATGAATTGTGTGATAAAATGTTTAGTTTAGAGTGGTTGGGGCATTAATGCTCTGTTATAAAAATTTTAGAGGCTGGGGACAGACATATGATTAAACATTAAATCGGCAGACTTTGCCTCTCACTCATCCCTCCTGCTTTTTATTGTAAAATTTATTCAGAAAGAATTAAAGAAAAAAACTACAATAGTGTTTATTACTCTAGAAAGTACAAAACTTTTTTTTTTATTTTGGGGAGATTTTGAGCTAGTTTGAATTATTTCTGCACTTGAAAAACTTAGTTGCTACTAATACATTAAAGTTTAAAAGTATATTCCTGAGCAAATGATTGTACCCAAGCAAGAGGAACATGGGGGTGTTTGAACATATTTTAGACCTTCAAACACTTTTCAAAAAGGCTACGTTTTAAAAGCTGAGGTTTTCTTTCTAGCATGACCTATTAATTGTCTAATAGGTTAGCAATTTAGGTGAAAGTCAACTTTCTGCCTACTCCATCATGCTATAACTTTTTTACTAGCAAAGTATTTGGAAGGGCTGTTGACTAGTATAGTCATGTCATCAACACGTGATTTCAACTCATAGAAACAAGGCTAAGAAAATCTACAATAGACAGGACCAGCAGGTGGCGTGAGGGTTAAAGTACTGAATTCCCATACGGAAGACTGTGGTTTGAGTCCTGGACCTGGCTGCTTGAATATCATGCTGTGTGAGTGAGTGCCAAAAACCTCAGGAAGGAATGGAGATTTGCAGTGTGACCATCCTCCCTAGAGGGTGTTTACTCACTTTTCCTCCCTCTGTCTCTCTGTCTCTCTCTGGCAAGCACACACATCCTATGGCAAAACCCTAAAATATATAAAATAAAATAAAATAAAATAAAATAAAATAAAAGGTATAAATATGCTTCCCCATGTAGCTGACCCTCAGTCCATTTCTAGAAGCTTCACTTCAGTCTCAGTTCAATTATACTTGCTTCCCATTCTGTGTAATCATTCTGTATGGAAATGAAGAAACAGATCCAAGAAATTTTACCTATAGCAAAGTAATGTGTTAAGGGATATTATTGTATAGGTGACAGATATTTTATCATCCCTGATTGGGAATTTGATTCCTACTGATGGTATAAACCACTCACTTTTCAACAATATGGGGGTTCATTCTATTTTCTTTTCTTCATTTTTATTCCAAGTATGGTAGCCATTAGAGAAGTTCACCAAAATTCTGGGTTTTCTTCTTCCAGGTGCATAGCGAGATTGAAGTACTCTGACCCCTTTGCATTTAGATGTGACCTTGTGATTTGCCTTGGCAAATGAGGAATTAGCAGAAGTGACATGTCACTTACAAGCTGAAGCATGATGAGCTAGTGTGCAATTTACCAAGTCCCCTTCCCTGGGCCTCAGCTGCTGAGGACCCCAGATGGAGTTTCCCTCTGCCTGCCACCCCTAGCACAGACGATGTGGCACAGAGACCTCTCCTTTCCACACGGACATGTAGCACGAATGAGCAATAATCCTTTGTTACTATAAACCCCAGATATTTTTTTTTTAATGCTGTGCAACATAGTCTGTCTTAATACACTTAGGAAGGTAACTTCATCTTTATTTTTCTTTTTGTGGGCAATGTAAAAATTCTCTTCCCAGAGTGAAAACTATTCTTCTACATATAATTAATAGAACGATCAGATAATGAAAGCATTCCACTAGCAATCTGGATCTCACGGTCTTGATCAACTCACCCACTTACTGGGAGTCAAAACATTATCTGGACCAGTCTGAAATGAAGAAAACAACTAAACTTTAAAACAAAATACTTTTTATAGATTTTTGCCATAGAGCAAGTGTGCTCGCTAGAGAGAGACAGAGGGAGAGAAATTACTCCCCAGGAGGAATGGCTATGTCACACTCCCTTCTCTTTTCTGCTCTTGAAATGTTGGACCTGCACATACACACACCCAGCATGATTTTCAAGCCGGTGGGTCAGGGACCTGAATCACAGTTTGCCGTGGAGTCCAGCACCTTAACCACCACATTACCTGCTGGCCTTTGGAAACACTTGGGTTTTTTTTGTTTTTGTTTTTGTTTTTAATTTATTTTGGGAATTATTTTATTTAACTTTATTTATTTATTTTTAATTTGACCAGAGAGGGACAGAGTAAGAGAGTAAGAGAGCAAAAGACAGAAAGAAAGAGGGAAAGTGAAAAAGCAAGGCACCAGACTTGAACTGCAGTTGACCTTGTGGGAGTCCAATGCCCTTAACCACCATGCCACTTGCTGGTACCCTGGAAACAATTTTGTTTTATTTTTTTTTTATCTCAAAATTATTTCTGAACCTCCACAAGAATTTTCAGCGGGGCCTTTGCTTACTTGCAAATACAAATGAAGTAAGTCCATGGAGTCTGTCTAAAAGAGACTTTATCAGCAACTATATGAGGAAATAAAGAAACATCTTCTCTCCATGTTCACTTCTATGACTTCAGGTTGGTGAAATGGAAAAAAAAAATTTTTTTTTTTGAGGGTTGGCCAATGAGCCTGCATTAAAGAAACATGAACTGGGGCAATTTAACTCTTCCAGACCCTAGTTTCCTCATCTGGTGTCATGGACTGAATGTCTGTGCCCCTCCCCCCGTTCATATGTTGAAACCCTAGCCCCCAGTGTGATGTGATCACCTCTCACAGGTCATTAGGAAGCAATTAGGTTTAGATGAGATCTTGAGGATGGAGCTTCTAAGATAGGATTAGTGTTGTTAAAAGAGAATGAAGAGATAAGAGTTCTTTCATGCTCTTTCTCTGTCTGCCATGTGAAGACACTTTCAAAAGGCATCCATGTGCAAGCCAGGAAGAGAACCTTCACCAGAACCCAAGTATGCTGGTACCCTCATTTCAG